TTTTTTTCTTTCTGGTGCATATAATAGCATGCTATTTTAATAAATGAAATTCTACATGAACTAATTCCAAGTATTTTTTTAAACTTATTCTGTGTCATTTTTACAGAAACTTGTAAGTCCCAATGGATTTATGGACATCTGCAGATAGATTTACTGAGATTTGTTAAATTTTGGAAAAATCTTTATTAAAGTCAAGCGTATTTTATGCTTGTCAAACTGTAAAACAAGATCAGGTTTTCTAGAAAATCTAATTACTGGTATAAATTCCATCATTTTATTGTAGCATTAACGTTTTTAAGTTTCAGCACAGAGGGATTCATCACAATGTATCCTCCACAGGGGCGTAGCTAGGGGGGGGGGGCGGGGGGTACGGACTGCACCGGGTGACACCATTTAGGGGGGTGACACCAAGGCAAAAAATGGCAAAATATATAGAGAGAAAAACTTGAGGGGGGGGTGCAAATCGAAAGTTTGAGGGAGGAGGAGGTGCAAATCGAAAACTTGAGGGGGGGGGGGGGTGCAAATCGAAAGTTTGAGGGAGGAGGAGGTGCAAATCGAAAACTTTAGGGGGGGGTGCAAATCGAAAGTTTGAGGGGGGTGCAAATCGAAAACTTGAAAGTTTGTCCCCGGTATGGGTTGCAACGCCTCTGGGGGGTGACACCATTAAGTGCCGCACCGGGTGACACCCGACCTCGCTACGCCACTGATCCTCCACATCAACTCTAGTGACAGAAACAGTGTCAGAAAATGTGTCAACAGACGCCAGGGGACTGGTGGGAGGTGTGGGCTGGTGGGAGGTGTGGGCTGGTGGGAGGTGTGGGCTGGTGGGAGGTGTGGGCTGGTGGGAGGTGTGGGCTGGTGGGAGGTGTGGGCTGGTGGGAGGTGTGGGCTGGTGGGAGGTGTGGGCTGGTGAGAGGTGTGGGCTGGTGGGAGGGAGGTGTGGGCTGGTGGGAGGTGTGGGCTGGTGGGAGGGAGGTGTGGGCTGGTGGGAGGTGTGGGTTGGTGAGAGGTGTGGGCTGGTGAGAGGTGTGGGTTGGTGAGAGGTGTGGGCTGGTGGGAGGGAGGTGTGGGCTGGTGGGAGGTGTGGGTTGGTGAGAGGTGTGGGCTGGTGGGAGGGAGGTGTGGGCTGGTGGGAGGTGTGGGTTGGTGAGAGGTGTGGGCTGGTGGGAGGTGTGGGCTGGTGGGAGGTGTGGGCTGGTGGGAGGTGTGGGTTGGTGAGAGGTGTGGGCTGGTGGGAGGGAGGTGTGGGCTGGTGGGAGGTGTGGGCTGGTGGGAGGGAGGTGTGGGCTGGTGGGAGGTGTGGGTTGGTGAGAGGTGTGGGCTGGTGGGAGGGAGGTGTGGGCTGGTGGGAGGTGTGGGTTGGTGAGAGGTGTGGGCTGGTGGGAGGTGTGGGCTGGTGGAAGGTGTGGGCTGGTGGGAGGTGTGGGTTGGTGAGAGGTGTGGGCTGGTGGGAGGGAGGTGTGGGCTGGTGGGAGGTGTGGGTTGGTGAGAGGTGTGGGCTGGTGGGAGGGAGGTGTGGGCTGGTGGGAGGTGTGGGTTGGTGAGAGGTGTGGGCTGGTGGGAGGGAGGTGTGGGCTGGTGGGAGGTGTGGGCTGGTGGGAGGGAGGTGTGGGTTGGTGAGAGGTGTGGGCTGGTGGGAGGGAGGTGTGGGCTGGTGGGAGGTGTGGGCTGGTGGGATTGTGGGCTGGTGGGAGGTGTGGGCTGGTGGGAGGTGTGGGCTGGTGGGAGGTGTGGGCTGGTGGGAGGTGTGGGCTGGTGAGAGGTGTGGGCTGGTGGGAGGTGTGGGCTGGTGAGAGGTGTGGGCTGGTGGGAGGGGGGACACTATCAGCGCAGCGCCCGTTGTATTTCTCCCGCAGCGGGCCGATTATCTAGTTAAATAGAATTCTATTTGTAGAAACACAACACTATAATTAAACCAATTAATTAAGACGAGCCGACCCGCGGCGTATCATACGCCGCTATTTAGTTGTATTATTTTCTACTTTTCAGTTATTCGAAATCAGCCTCCTCTTAGTTACCTCCCATAAGTTTAAAATAGTTTCAAACTAAATTATCTGCCCCTAATAGCCGTCTCTACGGTTGTAAACATTTAGCGTGAACCAGCTCACCAGACCATGTTGGGGTGGGGGTGGTTGCGATATGCCTATAGAGGAAGAGAGGGGACTGCAAGGCGCGCTTACAGCTTGTTTTCTAACATCTCCAAGAAGAGAATTATATATATAGATGTGTCTAGATTAGACCAGATTATCCTAGTAATTAAGATGTGTCTAGATTAGATCAGATCAGACTATCCTAGTAATTAAGATGTATCTAGATTAGATCAGACTATCCTAGTAATTAAGATGTATCTAGATTAGATCAGACTATCCTAGTAATTAAGATGTGTCTAGATTAGATCACATTATCCTAGTAATTAATTTGTATCTAGATTAGATCAATATTCTCCTAGTAATTAAGATGTCTCTGGATTAGATCAGACTATCCTAGTAATTAAGATGTGTCTAGATTAGATCAGACTATCCTAGTAATTAAGATGTGTCTAGATTAGATCAGACTATCCTAGTAATTAAGATGTGTCTAGATTAGATCAGACTATCCTAGTAATTAAGATGTGTCTAGATTAGATCAGACTATCCTAGTAATTAAGATGTGTCTAGATTAGATCAGACTATCCTAGTAATTAAGATGTATCTAGATTAGATCAGACTATCCTACTAATTAAGATGTGTCTAGAATCGATCAGACTATCCTAGTAATTAAGACGTGTCTAGATTAGATCAGACTATCCTAGTAATTAAGATGTGTCTAGATTAGATCAGACTATCCTAGTAATTAAGATGTGTCTAGATTAGATCACATTATCCTAGTAATTAAGATGTGTATAGATTAGATCAGACTATCCTAGTAATTAAGATGTGTCTAGATTAGATCAGACTATCCTATTAATTAAGATGTATCTAGATTAGATCAGACTATCCTAGTAATTAAGATGTGTCTAGATTAAATCAGACTATCCTAGTAATTAAGATGTATCTAGATTAGATCAGACTATCCTAGTAATTAAGATGTGTCTAGATTAGATCAGACTATCCTAGTAATTAAGATGTATCTAGATTAGATCAGACTATCCTAGTAATTAAGATGTGTCTAGATTAGATCAGACTATCCTAGTAATTAAGATGTATCTAGATTAGATCAGACTATCCTAGTAATTAAGATGTGTCTAGATTAGATCACATTATCCTAGTAATTAAGATGTGTCTAGATTAGATCAGACTATCCTAGTAATTAAGATGTGTCTAGATTAGATAAGACTATCCCAGTAATTAAGATGTATCTAGATTAGATCAGACTTTCCTAGTAATTAAGATGTGTCTAGATTAGATCAGACTATCCTAGTAATTAAGATGTGTCTAGATTAGATCAGACTATCCTAGTAATTAAGATGTGTCTAGATTAGATCAGATTATCCTAGTAATTAAGATGTGTCTAGATTAGATCAGATTATCCTAGTAATTAAGATGTGTTTAGATTATATCAGATTATCCTAGTAATTAAGATGTGTCTAGATTATTTCAGATTATCCTAGTAATTAAGATGTGTCTAGATTAGATCAGACTATCCTAGTAAGTAAGATGTATCTAGATTAGATCAGACTATCCTAGTAATTAAGATGTGTCTAGATTATATCAGATTATCCTTGTAATTAAGATGTGTCTAGATTAGATCAGATTATCCTAGTAATTAAGATGTGTCTAGATTAGATCAGATTATCCTAGTAATTAAGATGTGTCTAGATTAGATCAGATTATCCTAGAAATTAAGATGTGTCTAGATTATATCAGATTATCCTAGTAATTAAGATGTGTCTAGATTAGATCAGACTATCCTAGTAATTAAGATGTGTCTAGATTAGATCAGATTATCCTAGTAATTAAGAAGTGTCTAGATTATATCAGATTATCCTAGTAATTAAGATGTGTCTAGATTAGATCAGACTATCCTAGTAAGTAAGATGTATCTAGATTAGATCAGACTATCCTAATAATTAAGATGTGTCTAGATTATATCAGATTATCCTTGTAATTAAGATGTGTCTAGATTATATCAGATTATCCTAGTAATTAAGCTGTGTCTAGATTAGATCAGACTATCCTAGTAAATAAGATGTATCTAGATTAGATCAGACTATCCTAGTAATTAAGATGTGTCTAGATTAGATCAGACTATCCTAGTAATTAAGATGTGTCTAGATTAGATCAGACAATCCTAGTAATTAAGATGTATCTAGATTAGATCAGACTATCCTAGTAATTAAGATGTGTCTAGATTAGATTAGACTATCCTAGTAATTAAGATGTGTCTAGATTAGATCACAATATCCTATGCCCCGTGGCGTAGCGAGGTCGGGTGTCACCCGGTGTGGCACTTAATGGTGTCACCCTCCTAGAGGCGTAGCGATCCTTCCCCCTCAAACGTTCGATTTGCACCGCCACCCTCAAGTTTTTCTCTATATATTTTGCTATTTTTTGCCTTGGTGTCACCCCCCTAAATGGTGTCACCCGGTGCGGTCCGCACCCCCGTCCCCCCCCCCTCGCTACGCCCTTGCCTTTGCCAAATATACCTCACAGAGAGCTCTATTAACCTGTTCACTGAACTCGACACTGCTTTCACCTCTATACCTGAAGGTGTCTATTTGCTTTAACTAGACTACAAAACTGAAACAAGACTCGTTTTCCACGAATCAAAACCAGCACAGATCTACACTCTAAAGCAGTGGTTCTTAACCTTCTAGGGGGTATCGAACCACACCAGTTATATATTCGCATTCACCGAACCCTTCTTAATTAATAGTTTTATGGCCCACACTGAAAATAGATCGGGAGACTGGTGTATGTCTTGACCTTCGCCGAACCCCGAAACTGACTCACGGAACCCCTGGGGTTGGATCAAATCCAGGTTGGGAACCACTAGGCGAGATGTATGCATAAGGTTAGACAACTCTAGCTGCGTGTCAAGTTGTTATTGCTGAATGTTCGGTAGCTCTGGTTATATCCGCATACACACCAAGTCGCCTGGGGGAGGATTGTTCACAAGAGGACTTCAGATTTTTATTAAAGTAAGTTTCAGTTTTTGGGTATCTTTTTATATGTATTTTCACAAGCAGTAATAATTATGTTTTTGTTTATACTTGTGTGAATTGTACAAGATATTTAAGCTCTTCAAAAAAACTCTTTTATTTGTCTTTGTTCAGATATTGATTGAGCTTGAGAAGACTTCAAGTTGGCTGTGAGAATGATTAAAAACAGGGCTGTCTCTCTGGGCTGCTTGTCCGGATTTGTTATTGTTGGGGGTGAGTTATTTCATGTCAGCTCAGTGGCATTGAGCTCGTTTATGTCAGCGGCTGTAAATAATTATGTGAGGTCAAAAAATCGAAGTAGTTTTATGTAGTCAATGCATGCAGAGGCGTCGCGAGGCGGGGTGCGGACGGTGTAGGGGAGGGGTGACACCAAGACAAAAGATTGTATAATAATAATAATAATAATATATGGAAGAAACATGCTTTATGCCAGCTCAATGAATGATTACATTGAGTTAAAAAGTATGTGATTCCACGTATAATAATGTGCTACGAAAACGTTTTTTACACTTAAATTATAGTTGGATTAAAATAATGAGTGCAAAACTTCACGCCATTTTGCAAAAAATTGTAGTATGGGGGAGTGACGTAACACTTATTACAATTATTTATGTGCCTCTATATATATTTATATGTGTGTGTGTGTGTGTCCTATACTTTTTTCCTTGGGTGTTTGTTGGTGGGGTGACATAATGAGGTGCCGCACGGGGTGACACCCTACCTAGCGACGCCACTGAATGGATGCAACCCATCTCATATGTGGTCAAGTAAAGACGTCATGTTATTTTTTAAAGCTTTTATATTATCGTGATAATGTTTAAAAGTAGTTGAATATTTTTATGCGATTAAATTTCTGATATAAGGGCACACATTGCGTTCTGCAAGTTGAAAGTTTTTTGTCTACTCAAGATTTTATGTAAACTTTATAGAAAATATGTGTGGAAAAAAAAGTTTGTTTCGTGTAAATTACTGAAGTTGTTTCTATTCAGATTGTTTAGAAAAACTTAACTCAAAAAGCCAGGGGCGTAGCGAGGGGGGGGGGGGGCGGGGGGTGACACCATTTAGGGGGGTGACACCAAGGCAAAAAATAGCAAAATATATTGAGAAAAACTTGAGGGGGGGGGGGTGCAAATTGAAAGTTTGAGGGGGGTGCAAATCGAAAGTTTGAGGGAGGGGTGCAAATCGAAAACTTGAGGGGGGGGGGGCAAATCGAAAGTTTGAAGGGGGGGGGGTGCAAATCGAAAACTTGGAAGTTTGTCGCAACGCCTCTGGGGGGGGGGGTAACACCATTAAGTGCCGCACCGGGTGACACCCGACCTCGCTACGCCACTGCAAAAAGCACCGACTTAGGACATAAAAGAATAAGAAGAAGCTTGGTGCTACAAAGTGAATCTAAGAGCCTGTAATTTTGATTGATACATTTTTTGAAGTTACATTTTAAATAATACTCTCACAATTAACTTAAAGCTAACAAAATCTTCGGAAAATTGTAGTTTTTGTCGTTTGTTTTTCAGGGATAATTTTTGCCGTCCTTTCGGCTTTTCCTTACGATAGCTCTCTTATTGAAGTCAAAAATTCACGCGAGTGGGATGCCTATAAATACGCTACAGTTTTCCCATTTTGGATTTTTGGCTTTGTGGTAAGTCATTTCCTAATTGTTACCTGTGCTTGATGACTAGGAATAATAAGTTAACACATTAAGAAGGCAGTTGAGAGTAGCATTCAGGGACGGAACTACAGTACCGCCAGACCCCGCAATAGGGGGGGGGGCCCAGGCCGTTTAGGGGCCCACAGCCGACCATGACAAATATTTTTTATACTTAAAGAATAATTTTCTTGTAAAAAAAAACAGATCTACTTCAGTAGTGATGTACAACAGTAGCTAACACACGCTGTTTCGTAAAGGAAAAAAAAAATATATAGGCTACATGAGTTGTAGTGTGAAAGATAGGCAACCGTTCAAACCGCTTCCATGACTTATTTCCCTTTTATTAAATAGTCAAATATGTGTGTTCTTAAGAAACTTTAAATAGATTTGCACTAAACAAATTAAAAAGCAATTACTTCTCTTAATTATTATTTTTTTAAAATACATAATAAAGAATGACATAGTATAAAAAGGAAATGTATTAAAAACTATTAATATAAATACAATTTTTTAAAAAATAAACATAAGGCGAGAAACCATTACACATACAAAGCTTTCATGCTTCATATTCTTTTGACCAACTGTTGTGCCCCATATATATATTACGGAGCCCAAAAATTTTTGTTGCGGGGTGGTCCAATTTTTCTAGTTCCGCCACTGGTAGCATTCAACTGATATAATAGTGTGTTGTGACCTTGACTGAGATTTGAACTTTGTTTACAGTTCATAGTCCCTGGGATTCTTGGCTGTGTCGCCGCTTTGGTCCAGAACAAATGTATGGTGAGTTTTGGTGTACCTCGAGTTAAAAAACGTCTTTGTTGTCTAACATAAAATGTACACACACACTATATATATATATATATATATATATATATATATATATATATATATATATATATATATATATATATATATATTTATATATTTATATATTTATATATATATATATATATATATATATATATATATATATATATATATATATATATATATATATATATATATATATATACTTATTTCAGTATGTGACAGCATTGGTTTTCGGCATCCTGGCGATCATTACAATGGCTATTATTATTTTCTTCCTTGGCATTGGAATTCAAGTCGTTGATGCGAGCGAACCAGTTTTCCAGACCAAATGCCGAACTAGTGGGGACATGTGCTTCTGCAGGTTGGTGCCATCGTATTTTACCCCTCGACGGTCCACAGCAAATGTAATCCATACATTGTTTCCTTTTACCCTGCTCCGTGGTATTGTTGTTATTGTTGTTATAGTTGATGTTTTAATGTGTTATGTTTTCAGAGGCGGCAAAACTGTTGTCACCATTTATAAACCCTGCGAGTTTTTCGAGCAATATCCCAGGATCTACATCGCGATGTTCGTCATGAACATCGTTACCTGGATTGCTTTATTCGTTGAGTTCGTCTTGTGCTGTTACTACACCTGCTGTGCTAGGGTATGTTATAACTGATGTGAAAGGGTATGTTTTAGCTGTTGTGCTAGGATATGTAATACCCACTGAATTCTAATGTAAGCTGTGGTAAACCTGTTGTGCTAAGGCAAGCCATTGCATACCTGTTGTACTAAGGTAAGCTATGGTATACCTGTAAACCAGGTAAATCGTGTTATACCTGTACTACCAAGGTAAGCTATGGTATACCTGTACTACCAAGGTAAGCTATGGTATACCTGTACTACCAAGGTAAGCTATGGTATACCTGTACTACCAAGGTAAGGTACGGTATACCTGTACTACCAAGGTAAGCTATGGTATACCTGTACTACCAAGGTAAGCTACGGTATACCTGTACTACCAAGGTAAGCTACGGTATACCTGTACTACCAAGGTAAGCTATGGTATTCCTGTACTACCAAGGTAAGCTACGGTATATCTGTACTACCAAGGTAAGCTACGGTATACCTGTACTACCAGGTAAATCGTGTTATACCTGTACTACCAAGGTAAGCCACGGTATACCTGTACTACCAAGGTAAGCTATGGTATACCTGTACTACCAAGGTAAGCTACGGTATACCTGTACTACCAAGGTAAGCTATGGTATACCTGTACTACCAAGGTAAGCTACTGTATACCTGTACTACCAAGGTAAGCTACGGTATACCTGTACTACCAAGGTAAGCTACGGTATACCTGTACTACCAAGGTAAGCTATGGTATACCTGTACTACCAAGGTAAGCTACGGTATACCTGTACTACCAAGGTAAGCTACGGTATACCTGTACTACCAAGGTAAGCTATGGTATACCTGTACTACCAAGGTAAGCTACGGTATACCTGTACTACCAAGGTAAGCTACGGTATACCTGTACTACCAAGGTAAGCTACGGTATACCTGTACTACCAAGGTAAGTCGTGTTATACCTCTTGTGCTGATACACATAGCAACACATACCCCTACCGTTTCCCTTATCAAAACAACAACAACAATCCTTTGTTAAAGCTTAACTGTTATTCAAAGCTCGCCTCATATTGCTAAGGCCTTGAGCTGAGACATAAAAACCGTAATCAACATAAGGGATATAACCCATGTTTTTAGTCGGAGCTACTTATGCTACGTGTTCTTCAGAAAAGGCCGCAGCGTTCAGGCGACGTTGAAGCGTAGACAGTTATAAAAATAAATTGTTTGTAATATTCTGATGGTGTGTATTGGGTCCTGTGTCGCAGTGGCGTAGCCAGGATCGTCTCAAGGGGGTGGGTTCCAATTTTTACCCGGGGATAAACTTTCGATTTGCACCCCCCCTCAAACTTTCGATTTGCACCCCCCCCCCCTCAAACTTTCGATTTGCACCCCCCTCATACTTTTTATATATACTGAGGGGTCTATGGCGGGTTATGACCCCCCCCCCCCCTAACCCCCCTGCCTACGCCACTGCTGTGTCGTAATAATTGTGCAGTGTTGAAGATCTTGACATGCTGGTATTTGTTTAATCCTACTCAACCACGTCAACAGGGGGATAAATACAGGCTGTGTTATGACAGACAAGGGAACTCTTTATTACATTTTACCCCCTCCCCTCTCCTTAATGCAACAGTTGGTAACGAAAGTTCAACTTTTCCCCTCCCCCCTTCCCCAGTAACACTTACACGACCTAGTTTTCATGTCCTCCACCCTTCTATGCCTCGGGTTTTGTTACTGAAATTCTCATATTTTGATAGTGTATTCTAAAACATTGGTTTTGCGGATATCAGCCTACATATTTACATTAGCTAAAACATTTTCCACCAATTAACGTTGGTTACATCTCATTCTTTGTTTTAATGCTAGTGTTGGAAGGGATCCCCCCCCCCCCCCAACTTGTTATCTCCCGAGAAATCTTTCACGCCTTTCAGCGCCTGAAGCGTTTATGAAAGAAAGCAAATCAGTTTTATTTTCTTATTTTCTGTACAATTAAAAGATTGTTATAAGAACTATTTTTTATATTTGTTTTATTAAATAATAACATACATTTTTCCAGGACCATTCGATTCCCTACGTGACAATGCAACCTGACTTTCACGGAATTTCCGTCACTCAATTTACCCAACAAAGTTCACAGCCCGGCGTCAGCCCCATGTACATGTTACCAGCGTACGGCGCCTCACAGCCAGGTCAAGCAGAGTACGGCGCTCCACAATACTCAAAAGCCTGAGACTTGACCCCTGGTGTAATGGGCATCACGCTCCATATAGGTCGCTTCGCTTGACTGAATTTATACAGTGTTATCCCTATACAATATAAAATGAAAATAACCACCCTACCCTATAAAGTACAACATAACCACGATTATAAAGTACAGCTATATGTGTCATTTAAAAGCTAAATTCCCATTGGGTCATTTAAGTAGCAAGCGTATAAAACATATCCGAACATATCTGGACATTTTTTAACATTTTTTAAATTTTCATTTTTTTTCTAAACTATGTATACTAATTTTCAAAATACTCCACTCCTGCGAAATACAACAATTTAATTTAAAAAAATATTTATTGCCTGCGTATAGAATTTCAATGTTTCCATTCTTTTCGATCTGACTCATATTATTTTTTTTATCAATAAAGACAGGGGGGGGGGGAGGTTACAATTATTTTAATACAAACAAAGTTGTAAATATTTTGAACAGCATATTGTAATTTTTAATTGTTTGTAATTCTGTTTATTTATATCATTTTTTAAAAGTAACAATTTAACAAAAAAAATAATTTTGCTTTGGTATTAAAACTTATTTTCTTACAAAAATATAGAATAGATTGAATGATTCCTCTAAAACACACATCTGTATTTCTAGAAAAGTTTCACTGTTCGATCTATCAGTCTCTGTGCCGAGGTAAAAATAGAAACAGATTTCATACTGTTACACTACTAGCTTTGTTATTACTTTCAAAACCCATTGAAATAAAGTATAATATGTTAGTATGACTTTCACGCTCTGTTTCTACGGAGTGTTTTAATTATAAGTTTGTACTATTACACACATATGTATATATGTTTTTAATGAAATCAAGTGCTTTGGAATCCACCATTTCAGTTAATGTAAACGTTCACCTAAAGCTTGTGAAAAGAGAAAATTAAAACTAAACACAATTTCAAACGTGAGTTGTGAAAGTGATGAGACAACGTCTAAACAAATTTGCAGTTTTATAACTTTCCAAATAATTGGTATAGTTCCAATAATATTTTGCCCCCGTTGTATTTGGTTCTCGTCGGGCGAAATCATCGAGTATCTAAACATTTGCAGTTTAAGCTTAAATTAAAAGATTTTTTTTTTCAAATCAGATAGCATGGTCAATACCTAGTAGGCCTATGTAATTATAATATAATTCATATTTGTAGTGATCATTAGAGATTTAGTATACATTTCAGAAATTTGCACTACATCTTGATCAGCAAGGTTGTAGTTTGTTTTTTTTTTTTTTTTTTTTTTAATTATTATTTAAATTATGATATTATTTTATGCTTTAGTAGCCTCAAAACAGTTAATTCTTTTTTTTTTAAGCGTACCATTTCATATAATAGCATGCTTTTCTAATTAAATAAGTTCTTCTAAAAATAATTCCATCTAGTTATTTATCGTTGTTATGTTGGTGGGTTGTTGGGGAAGCACGCTAAAAATTGCAAAGTGCATTTTAAACCAGAAATGACCTACGGAACAGTGTGGTGTCAAGCAATTAATGTGATATTTCAAATTCTGTATAACAATACTGTAATCAGCCATGACCATTAAGTAAAGAGGGAGGATTGTAAAGGTAACTCCTGTAGACCTGTAATCCTAGTGCACATGAACTTAACCTTTTAAAACATTCTACATGATAGGATGGGGTTTGAGAACCTTTTTTTTGTTAATTAGCAGTGTCCTCATTTTGTGATAATTATTTTCTTTTCTTGTCTTTGTTTCCAAGCAAATGTGAACAAACTGTGTTTACAATCGCCCTTGGTAACCCCCTACGTACACGAAAATAGGTGAAAATAGGAGTTATTTTGGCTATTAAAGGAAAGCAAGTTAATTAAGGGTTAATTAATTAAGGGTAATGAATTTTTTATAATGTAAAGCTATTTTAAACAAATAGAAAATATTTTTTACTTTATATTTAAATTAATTTCACTAATAGATTAAATACATGTATGAAAATTTAAAATAAAATACACAAAGTATTTAGCGATTAACGTGCTATTTTCAAAACTTAAGCAAATTAATTAAGGTTTGATCAGAGATCGATAATGTTTACATATTGATTTTTACGTTCACTTTGAACTCGCGGGGCACTGTCTGGTATATGTGGTAAGCTTTGAAGCTTGTAACAAAGAAATTTTGTTTAACTCACATTGGAGGCTATGTCGGGGAGGATTGTGTGTTGTTAGGCAACATTAATTTAACTTACATCAGGGTTAGGTTAGGTCAACCTGGGACAAAAATTAGGTTGGGTCAGGTTTATTTGGGGCACTAGGTTAGGTAACTTCTTCTTCGTTCTTAATTTGGCATATGATGGAGGATTTAAACATCAAGCCCAAATTCATGTATGAACTGGACTGTGGTCTCCAGATCAGCGGGTGCCCCATATAGTTTTTCCTTGAGTGGGGTGTGTAGGGGCCAGTGTTTTGATCGCGCCTGGCTATATAATGAACATTCTTGAAGGACGTGCTCCGTATTCTCCGGGGCCTTGCAACAAGGGCATATTTCACCACACCCAATTTTTAGTTTTTTATAGATGTGCTGTTTTAGTTAGGTAACATAAACTTGTGTAAAACAAGTTAATTAAAAAGTCTAGTGAGATTTAAGCGCAATTTCCTTATGTTATCTAAAAATAGCTCTGTCGTAGCTTAAATCAAGAGCAGGGTTAGTAAAACCATTGGTTAGTTATTAAAACGTTTTTTATTAAAAAAAAATTCAGTATTTTACATGTTTTATTTACAATAGAGTTACATGACTAAAAACCATTGCGCGCCTAGCTACCGAACGTGATGTCGCAGCCATTGAACGTGATGGCGCAGCTATTGAACGTGATGACGCGTGTGGTGTGGTTGGATAAAAATGCCTACTAATTCGGTCCAAATTTTAATTAATTCAAAAAATTTTTTGTGACCGAACGAAAGGATATTTTTGAAAACTTTCCTCGGCAATATTGTTCTAAATTATAGCAGAAATCGATTGGTAAATGTTTCAGGTCGCTAAGTGGTCTGGTTGCCAAGATATGGGCCAAAAACTGCATTTTTTCAAGGTTTTTTGGCTTTTCCGGGAAATCCATGAAAGAAACCGGATTTTTTTTGGCCCACTATCATCCTGGTAACTTGCTTAACATAATTGCTTTTGGAACTAGTCCTCGATATTGCTTCGTTGAGGAGCAGATATGACTTAAAGCTGCGGACACACATTCATACATCCATCCATTCATCCATCCAGAAATGACGGGTTAATAAACGCTATTCTCCAGAATGGAAATTGCGCTAAAAATAGTAGCAATGTCATTGACAAAATCAGCCACGCAAGCAAAAATAATTAATGAATGTTATATAATTTTTTATTCCTTGGTAAGGGAAATAACTCAATAATTAATTCATGTGGCTGAGTGTGCGTGTGTGTTTTTGCCAGCGTGTCAGTGTGTTTGCCGATATGCATTTGAGTGTGTCTGTAGATGTATTTGTGTGTGTCTGTGTGTGTCTGTGTGTAGTTCTATGAATATGTTTATGTTAACGTCTGTTGTAGTGGGTGTTTCTTTAAATGTACCTGTGTTTTTATGAGCTGGTGTTTCACTTACATTGTATTGGTGTGTTTGTACGTTCGTCTGTGTTTATGTGTACGTTGTTTTATTGTACGTAGCTCTGTGCAGTAAAGTATGTGTGCTAAGCCCCATCCCCTACGAATCCACCCCCCTCCCCTTTCCCCTTCTCGCCCTATCCGCTCAGATAACATATACTAGTAAGAAGTCAATACCTAGAATCTGAATTTAATTATTTATGGTTTTGTAAGTCGTTGGGTGGGGGGTGGGGGGAGTAAAGAAAAAGAAAAGGGGGGGGGGGGTGTTAATGGTTTGCCATACAAGCAAAGGAAATCATATCATTCTGAAGCTTAAGTCATCAAAACTATTAAGACATGAAGATTAAGACAACTAAACTATTAAGACATCATAAAGAATAAGACAGACCAACAGTTAAGACAGTCGAACGCTTAAGACAACCCAGCATTAAACGTAGTCTAACACTTTCGATTAAACTTTCTTTGACGTCGGCATATGTTTCATTCGGTAAACTTTCTCTGACTTAATTAAATTAATTAGCCTTCCTCTAATTGCTGGTGATACAGTGACATTACCTCTCCCATACTGCGTGTCTCTGCTCACTTCTCTAATCCAGAGACGGATAGGACTGTTTTAAATGTAATAGATTGGTTGGTCTATTTGTTGGAGGGTTTATTGGCCGAGTGTCAGTACTTGTTGTAGGGTTTATGGCCGAGTGTCAGTACTTGTTGTAGGGTTTATGGCCGAGTGTCAGTACTTGCTGGAGGGTTTATTGGCCGAGTGTCACTACTTGTTGTAGGGTTTATTGGCCGAGTGTCAGTACTTGCTGGAGGGTTTATTGGCCGAGTGTCAGTATTTGTTAGAGGGTTTAATGGCCGAGTGTCAGTACTCGTTGTAGGGTTTATTGGCCGAGTGTCAGTACTTGTTGGAGGGTTTATGGCCGAGTGTCAGTACTTGTTGGGGGGTTTATTGGCCGAGTGTCAGTACTTGCGGGATGGTTTTTTGGCCGAGTGATAGTAGAATTTATTGACCTAAATATAATATAAGATTGGGTGGGCTGGGGGGGGGGGGGGGAATTAACCGGGAGTCAAGGGAGTCAATTATAGATTTTTTTTTTTTAAATCAGTCAAGATCAGTAAAAGACAATTATAAGTGGATAAAAACCAACCTAATCTCTCAGGATGAATGAACTAAATACTTGAGACAGCAGGGCCAACCTTGTCTTAACAACACACCGCTTATATTAATATCTGAAAACAATATAACCCGCTAAATTGCAGAGGCGTAGCGATGGGGGGGGGGGACAGAGGGGGACGTTTGTCCCCGGGCGCCGACCTTAGGGGGCGCCAAAATGTGTTGTAAAAACAAATTCAAATGTCAAATTAGCTTCATTTTTGCAATTTGAGAGGTGGGGTGTGCAAATCGAAAAGTTGAGGGAGGGGGTGCAAATCGAAAGTTTGAGGTTGAGGGGGGGGGGGGGTCGCAAATCGAAAATTTACTCCCGTGAGATGTGCCAAATTGAAAGTTTGTCCCAGGGCGCCGGGAAGGTTCGCTACGCCTCTGCTAAATTGTTAGAAGATTTAGGTTAATCGAACAGAGAAATTATGTGGTAACTGGAGCACAGGAAAATTGATTGCGCTTTTTTTTTGTTTTGTTTACCAGGTCACTCATCATATTTTTAATCTTAATGATAGAAAAAAGTTATGGGTCAAAATGACGCACAATTTTTAATTTATCAGAGCAATTGGTCCGTTTATAAATGCAACTATTTAAAAAAAAAATTAAAGGTTTAAATAGGGAAGGCTTGGTTGGGGGGGGGGGGGGGGCGATAATGATTGATAAAAAAATGTCCCGAGTTTAGAACCCTCTGGGAGACAGCAATTCATCTAGGAGAGACAAAACAACTGTTGCTTTTGCATGATGTTCTTAGGTGAATGAAAGATATGAAAGCAAATTGAGAAATAAAAGAATGCTGAAGTTAAAAGTTAACAGACCGCATGGCGCATAACAAGTTGACACACACATAGACTAGTAATACTTAATTGTGCTGGAGAAATTCCATTAAATATTACATTTACGACGAAGAAGAAAATAAACTTTGATACAGAAGCTGTGTATTCAAG